CCATGTTGACTTGTTTTTTTAGCCTTAGCAATGGCCTCGACTTTGGCAGCAGTGACTTGGTCCACTTGCTTCATGTGCTTCTCTTTCGAGATATTGAGTTGCTGGAGGCATGAGCATGTCGAATTAACTATAAGGAGATGGAGTGGATTACACAGTTATGACATCAGGGATGTCAACAAGAAGGTCTTCTACGACAAGAGTTCGACAAGGCATGTCGTCGTTGGTTACGACGATGGTTACTCACAGATAAGGCGATTGAAAAATTATCAAGGTCTAAGGCTGGAAGCTTAGGACCTTGATGTTTCCTGTTCTTGGTTCTAGCTGCAAGATTGTCGCTATGTTGGTGTTTGCACTGCCATTGAAATGGTGGGTTTATACGTGGAACAGTTGATGAAGTGCTTGGCTGCTAGTCTAGTTCAGCTAATAGAGTTTGAACCTAGGGCACGAATGGATTATTTATGGCAATGAATGCTTCAAGAACAATGATGATGGTTTGCAGAGGCAAAAAGAGAGAGTCTGGGGACACAAATAGAGGCAAAATAAAAAAGAGGGCAAAAAGTTATGATTTCGAGTCCTTAAGCGACTTGCTCGTGCTGATGTTAGACGGCTGGGGGCAAAATTGATGTGACACGATGGAGACATGATTAGTATGCTCCAATCTGATAATGATCTTGATTGAGAAGTGCGATCTCAGTTGAGATGATCTCGGTAGAGGTAATCATCTCGGTAGAGGTAATCATCTCGGTTGAGATGACAATCTCGGTTGACATGATGATTTCAGTTGAGATGTTGATCTCGGTTGAGATGTTGAATTTAGATGGGAGCAGAACTTGTTTATTCTTGGTTTCTTATGAGATGATACTAGGATCTTGATGTTCTTGAACTAGTAAGTCGTGATCTCTGCTAGTAGTGTGATCTCTGTTGACATGTTAGACCTGGATGAGATAGAACATGTTGGTTCTTAGTTCTTGATTTTTGATTCTTGATTCTTGACGAGTGGACATATGAGTCCTTATTTCTTAGCGTCGACAAGTCACGATCTTGGTTAGAGGAGTACATGTATAGGTTCCATCACCTCAATTTGCCTAAGTAATAGAACCTAAGGGGCAGTTGTGGAGACATATTTTTGGGTAGTCCACGTGACCGAGGTTGTTAGCTGAGGTGCCACGTGGGTGGACTATGATGCCGAGATATAGTGCGATAATACCGGAATCTAAGATATTTGGATAAAGGACTAGAGTCCTAGATGATATCAAACTATCTATTTGGATAGAGGACTAGAGTCCTAGATTGGGAGAGGACTTCAGTTTGGATAAAGATAAGACTCTTAGAGAGTTTATCCCAATCCTACTTGGAGTCCAAGATTAGCAGTAATCCAGAATCCATTGAAGCAAGGCTTCTATTAGGACTAGGTTTGTGTTGGCTATAAAAGGGAGGTACCCTCATGGGTCTAAGGTATGTTTTTTATGTTCTGTTTAGTGAGTTAAGCACTTTTGCTATCTTTGAGAGATAACTGACTTGATCGTCGGAGTGCCCCCGGGTGGACGAACCACCGTAGGATTCTTATATTTCTGTGACAGGTTGTTCGGGCTTAATCTATTCTGTCAGTGCTCTCTAGCTGAGTTCTCCCTTTGATTGTGTGGTCGAAAATCAACACCCACAACTACCATCAAGTATCGACAAATAACCTAGAGAAAGGTAGCTTGAGGACCATTTTAGAAAATTACAAATAATAAATATAATAAAGTCAATATATATTAATTTAATCAAGAATATATAGGTTGAATTTAATGAACCAAAGTTAAAGAGATCAAGCTATCTATAATACATAGTTATATTAAAGTTGCAGTCACAAAGTGATAAATAATCTTAGCATTATAAAACTCTCCAAGCGTTGACTTAACTCTTAGCATTACCCAACAGCCAAAGAGCCACGTTTCTCATAACTCTTGAGAGGGAGTTTTTATGTGCATTAGGGCCGAGCTAGGCCAAGGCGTGGTAATGGGCCGCTCTGTGGGCCACAGTAAAAAGGGCTGAATGAAAGGACCTTATAGCTAGCTCGGTCCAAATATGGTTACAGCCACCACGGTCGGAGTGGTGATTAGCTCGGTCATAGTATTCGAGATGAGGTATTTGGGCTTCCTGCGGAAGACCTTGCTCTTGATAGCTCGGTCCTAGCTTGGTATTGTTAGCTCGGTCTCAACAGGCCAAAATCGAGGTACAAGTGAAAGGAGAGCCAAGCTATGTGTTGCATGCGAAGACATTGGATTAAGTATGACAAAAGGCTAGTGTTAGCTCGGTCATACTGTCATCCAACCGTGATAAAATCATCTCACTTGGTTTAAGCAGTGAGGGGGGCGGTGAAGGATAGGCATTATCTTTCAGGAGTGTGATTCCTAGGAGGACTCTACATGGAGGAATAAGAGTCCTACTAGGATTGTGCTATGCAGAATCTATAAAAGCTCACAACATAACCTATGTAGAAGTAACACAACTTTGATTCTCGAATACACAGAGCTTATTATCTATTGTCTAGTTGCTGACTTAGGCATCGGAGAGGTATCCGGCACACACCTGCCGTCTAACTCACGCTTGTGTTTTCAGGGAGTAAAGCGACGACGTTTGGAGGAGTGCAGACTTGATCAACAGGATTATACGAGAAGATAATTTCATGCTCGTACAACTCTTATCATATAAAAAAAAATTCTTGCAAAATCTTCGCATTGTGAAAGTTCTAAAATGAGAAAGGGTTTAGTTTTGTTTGAAAGATTTTTACATGGAATAAGGATTTCCTAACAACCAACATGAGGTTTTATAACTCCAAGGTTGGATGAGTTGGTAAGGTAACGGCTTGCGTGACCAAAGATTCTAGGTTCAAAATCTATACCAACCTTCTTGTAACCCTTGACCGAAATTGGGGGTGAGGAGTGGATTTCTCGACATCGTTCTCAAATTGACTTTTATAAAGTCGGATCATAAATGAGGCTCGTCTTGAGTGTTTCCCTGTCAACCAAAAAAAAAAACACACACGAACTTCTATAGTAAACAAGTCAATACTCTTTTGTCACGTTTGGTTATTGGATAAAATATGAGAATTGATTAGTTATTAATGAGATTATTTATGTCATACTTGATAACAAAATTTACTAATGAGAATTTTTGATTTTTTGATTTTTCATAAGAAAAAAAAATGTTAATGTGTTTAGAAATAATTTTTTTAGTTATATAAAAATAAAAGTAAATAAAAATAAAAACAAAAAATTGAATGACCAGTATGTATGACTTGTTTATTTACTGATTTTTTTATTTTTTTTGAACTTTTTTAATCTAAAAATCAAGTTTCCATACAAGGCCCAATCCCATGAAGTTGGGATAGAGTAAAGATAAGATTTAAAATAAAATATATAAAAAAAAATTGTCAAACCTTATTCCCCTTCAATTTAGAAAATTTAACTAAAACTCCTCTATTGGACTTTTGTTTGATGAAAAAGATAATCTAATTTATTTTGTTTCATAAACTCTCTAAGGAAGAAGCGTATAATCAAGGAAGGACAAAGTACAATATCTTTTTTTTTCTTTGACAATATTGTCAGAGTAACATGCTACTGTCAACTAGCATAACATATTATTATAAAACAGAGTAACATGCTACTATTGTCAAATAGGGTAACATGTTACTGTTTACATCAATTTTAATGATAATATATATACATATATATTTTTAAGAATTTTATAATCAACATAAATCTTATTTAATAGACATTGATGAGAGAATTCTAAAAATATTAATTTTATTAAAAACTGACATTTATATTATTTTGAAATTTAATATTTTGATAATAGTAGTATGTGTTAGACTTTTAAAGGAAAATTTTTTGTACTTATCCTTAAGGCCTCATTTGGCAAGTGTCTTTTTTAACTTAAAAGTCAAAAAACCACTAAAAAAATAATAAAAAAAAAAAACTACATTTTTTATCATACAAACTTATGCACAGTAGCCTAAAAGCCTATGCACAGTAACCAGTGTACTAGGCAGCCAAATTGGTTTTTCGTTTCACACTTTTTCGTGTAATCACCAAAAATTGTTCATTGTGATTGTGTGGATAAAATTTATTAGGAGTCTTGAGTGTATTTGATTTATATTTTGAGATAAATTTAAAAAAAAAAAATTAGAGAATTTTATTTTTTTTTTTGATTTGTTTAGTTGTATATTTTAAAAATAATTTTGAAGTTTGAGAGTTTGGGATGATTGATATTTTGTTATAATTGAGTATATGTGTATGAGAGAAAACGTGATTGAGAAAGTGAGAGGAGAGAAACAAAGTGATTGATTGATGTATAATAAAGAGAAAAGTAATTTTTAAAAACAAAAAATTAAAAAAATTTATAACCAAACATGCTTTTAGAAACTTTTAAATCCAAGTCAATTTTCAAAAAAAAAAAAAAAGAAAAAAAAATTAATATTGAACACAAGTTACAAACATGACATGACATGATAGCTGCCAGTCTGTACAGTGCTGTGTCATCATACTGTCACAGGTTATAACAAGAGTTGTCAATTTATCTATTTTTATATTATTTATTGAATTTTAGCCAAAAAATCAAAGAATTCATCCCAAACAAATTAGTTTTTTTTTAGTTTATAGTTTAATCAAAAAGTTAAAAAATTACTAAAATAATTTATTCCCAAACGAGACCTAAATGTATTAAAATTTTACCATGAGAAAACTTTAACCAAATCCTCCTTCAAATTTTCACCAAATTTTATTGCAAATTTAGCATGAAATTTGACAAAGTTATTTGTAACAATTCAGCTCACCCAAGAGAAACTTTTAATTCATGTTCTAAATTACGAAGTTTTAACATTTTAACACAATAACACATCAAATTTTAACTTTGATATTATCATTTTGGAAATGATCCATGGATAATGCTCTCACATCACATGCACCAAACCTCAACCTCAACCTCTCAAAAAGCTGTTTTTTGTCCTAAAAAAGTTGCAATAAAGTTGAATAATGGCTATCATATCAAACTATTATCAGGGTTCAAGACCCAAAAATACAAAGACAGCATGAACCCCACCCACCTGGTGCACTGTCGTCCCTTTTTTTTTTTTTATACATTTTCTTAGAGGATTTGCTTCTCAAAGCTCGAGTATATTAATACAGGAAAATAAAGCGAAAATACTTCAAAAAAAAATGTGCATAAACTGGGACGAAACCTAATGCTCAATCTCAGCATCAGACTAGGCTATACATCACAAAGAAATAAATTAACACAAAAACAAAACAAAAAAAAACAAAATTTGCATCGGCATCCTTTCGAGTAAGTGCTGTTTGGTTCTTAATTGAGGACACTTCTCTTGTCGGATGCGATCCTTTCAGCCACTCTTCCAGCAAATTGGCTAGTCTTGCTGCTACTACTGCTGCTGTTGCTACCCCTGGAATTTTTCACAACAGACCGCTGCATGATCCGAACCGGAATCCCACCCAAATCAAAGTCTTCCTTCAAAGACTTTGTTAAGAACCTTAGGTCTGTTTCTGCGAGTTGCGTCTTTCCACTCGTAAAGGCAACAAAAGTCGGTGGCCGCGCCTTCACTTGAGTGAAATATTTGATTTTTGGTTGAGCAGCCTGATCTTTCCAAGAATGCCTGCTCATAACCTGATACGTGCCACACGCATGGTTGTTAGAATATTCGATTCAAACGATTCAATATGAGTTTCAACCAAAACAAATTGATTTGTGCTGTTGGATCTTAAATTGAGTGAATCTTACCATTCAAATGTGATTCAAAACGTATTGTTTGCATAATTTAGTTTTTTTTTTTTTTTTTTTTGTATAATGCACCAAACACCACCGTTTTTTCAAAATAAAAATAAAATAAAATAATTAATTAATTATATTAATATACATTTTTTTTATATGTATATATGTAATTTAGTTGTACTGGCATCTATTTCATGTTAATTACAATGTGCATATTTTTATACATGTAACAATATATTATATTAAATCAAGTGAATCTTACAGTTCACGATTCGATATGAATCTTCATGATTTCACTATTTTAGCAAACAAAAATGTTTTCAAGTTCTAATGGAGCTCTAGGGGTGGTGGGTCTCATGTAATGTGATGTTTCAATAGTGATACATCCTCCTAAAAATAAAGCTCTATACACTTGGCACTATCGCTGTGGGGCCCACACCATTAGAGCTCCACTATTAGAGCTCCCAAATATTATTCGTGATGTTTTGGTCTTATTTTTTCTTTTCTTTTCTTTTTTTTTTTCATTGCCAAGTGTATAGAGCTCTGCTTAGAACTTCATTTTTAGGGATGTATCACTTCCGTTTGGCAAAATGATTCACAATTTGATTTACAAATTTAACAACAATGGCCACACACACACACACACACACACACAAACAATCAGCATGAAAATTTACATGTTCTAAGGGCTGCAGGAGAAAAGAAAATGATGAGGCATTGGAACTAACCTTGCGCAGCCAACGGTTAAGACGAGCAGTCGGCAACCTTAAACACCATTTATCATAGGTACTTAGTACCTGATGCATCATAGCTGTTCGACCCCTTCCCTCCAATGCAGAAACAAAAATAACTGGTATTCCCGTCACCTAGTAACAAAGTTGTGCGAATGATAGATCAGCTACTTCACTATCATTCTAAAGGTCATGAATACATATACATATATCATATATGCAAATGCAATGGGAGGAACAAAAATGATTCTCTGAGATAATAACAGGAGATGTGTATTATTCATCCACGTACGCACTTGTACTGATATTCATCAGTCAAAATACTACTATGAGTTGTGGTTCACTTCAGAGTATGTTTGTTTGAAACAAAAGTTATTTCCAAAAGTCCCTAGCACAAAAGCATGTTAACTAAGTCCCTGTTCTACAAGCAATCACCATTGTTTCATGAAGTACTTTCAACAGACACCAGAATATTAGCAATTGAAAAGAGCAACAGAAAACTAACAATACGCTGCTCATAATGTATTGATGGAACTCCATGCCAATGTAAGCAAATCTTCAGTGGCACATTGAAGGACATAATGACTATAGAATCTCAAGCAGCAAAACAAAAGTGAGAGATTGCTTAATCTCCCAAGGGCAAGCTTTTTCATGAGTGTATGTCGTAGGACCTAGGTACTTCAACAAGCGTGTCATGGCTGACAAAATCTCAGACAGCAAAAAAGATAGAAAAGTGAGAGAGATTGCATGATCTCCTAAAGGCAATCTTTTTCATCAGAGTTTTTCACAGTACATTCAACAAACTTTCTTGACGGTCAATAATTATAAGTATACAACACAAGTAGTTCAAATCTATACTAGTAAAAAATAGTATCATCAAAAGTTCAGTGGTTCCTTTCCTTCCAAATGCAACCACATCATACACGTGGGGGTGCTATTCTTCAATCCTTTCTATCTCCATAATTTGCTTCTTTCTTCCTAATACATATAATATAAAAGAATTGACCCTGACATAACCCACTTAACACCAAAAATAGAAAATAATAAGCTCCAAAGCTCCCTCACAACGCAAAAGGAGACAATCTATCGACTCCTCTGCCCTTGGACAGATGCAACACCAATATGGTAACATGTTACCTCTTTTGCCTGAATTTTCCAAGGTGAGAATTGAATCCAAAGCCACTGAACAAATGAAGAATGCTTATGCCACCTTGGATAGAACCCCCACTTCCAAATATTCTCCCAAGGAAATTACTTTGGGACATCCAAAATAGGATATGAAGATTAATTTTTCATTAAGAAAGGTAGTTTCTACATTTATGGTAAGGTAATAGCACTATGATTAATAACAAACTAAACCAATCGCTTAGAACAAGTATGATATGATATCAAAATGAAAATAACTTCAAGTTGTTAACATCTAGTCCAGAATGTAGTTTGACCATAAGAACTACAAACAAGAAGGAAATAACAAATTCCTACCGTCCTCAACTAATTGAGAGGAGCTATATAATTATGCGTAACAAGAATTTTCCTCTGGGAGATGCTAGAAAGACTAGAGATCACGAGTAGATGAAGAAAGTGAGCAGATACAAAGAAAGAAATGCTTACACATGAAGAACATATGACCTTAAAAATTTTGGAACTGACAAACCTGGGGCAAAACAGTCTGCACTTCTTCAGGAACAGCATTGACAACATTCTCTTGTAATTTCCCTTTTAGAAGATCCATCTTGTTCACAATCACAACCAAACCACGGCCTTCTTCCACTGCTCTTCTTGCTATGACAACTTCAGCATGGTTCATGCTCCTCCTAGCTTTTGCAATCTAACCATCATAAACATGATATACATAAAAAGAGAAGCTATTAGACATTAAAACTTATTATAGTATAATTTCTGAAACTGCACATAATAAATGCATACAGGGAATCAATCAATCATAACTGCAGAATACTACTTATATTCACTTAGCAGGTATTTTCACATGATAGTGGTTTGTAAGGTATGCATAGATACAATAAAATGAAGAAAATGATAACATACAACACATCAACTCAACCCCTGATTAAAAGTGTTATAAAGATTCAACAATTGATTGCCATGTGTAGGAGAAATAAGAATAAGACAAGCAATGATGGTACGATGACCATGTTTTCTTACCATATTTTGTTTAACACCTTATGTGTCACACTTGTTGAATACAATGGGTCCCACATAAATGTCATTAATATTCGACAAATGTCAGTGTGCCACATAAGGTGGTAAGCAAGATATGGTAAAAAGAGATGATCATCCTAAGTTTATTAATATAATTTTCCTAGCTTTTTGATTTTGGATTTGTTATTAGGTCAACAACAAAACTTCAAAAAGTATGGCCAGCTGGAACAATTTATTAGGTGAACTTATGCCTTTTACACCAAGGTGTCATAACCCAAATGAGCCAGAACTAATCCTTTGGTTAATACAATCAATCACCCACAAATGACACGCATGGAATTAGCCCAGTGAACTTAATTTCAACTAGGACAAAAATGATTCTTTTTTCAACCAGAAATATATTTAATGCCAAATAACACCACAAATAAGTTATCCTCAATTGGCTTTCTGGAAAAATATTTTATCAAAAACATGTCTTTCAGGAATACATATGTGCCTGTTGATAGCTCACAAAGTTTTTAGGACTTCAAATTTCCAATCACTTTTCTTATGTTCATTTCCCAACTATTCTCTATTCCATTGCAAGAAACCATCACCATGCTTGGGAGGAAATGTTACATGGACTTGGGTACTGATGTTGAGTGGTGGTATGTGCAAGTGTCAAATTCATATGATTCACGTCTTACCCCGGGATTTGGAAATATATTCATATTTCTTAAAGATTCTTCTTTTATTTTCCAAGATGTAATGGTATTTACAAGGTAGCATTGAGCATTTCACATGTTATATGAGAGTTTCATGCATACTAAGATGATAAATTTGAATTACTATGCATGTTTGTTGGGTAAATATCCAACTACACATGCCAGACAGATATCCCATAAGACTCGTACTATTACTCGAGTGTCGAGTGGACACGGATACTCCACACATTTACAACAGTCCATGTAACAAGCTTGGAGGTTGTGATGCATTTGACTACATTCAACTTAGGTAGCACAAATTGCTTCAAAATGAGACAAGGTTTGAGCTACAAGCATATTGACATATAGTTCATTACATATATACATTGGGAAAAAATAGCAAAAGAGCAATTTGACATATGACGCACCTCTTCGGCATCAAGAACCAAAGCAACTACATGAGCCCTCATAAGGTTTTTTCTTGATTGCACAATGCTCAAGGAAGCCGGTCCTTTGTCTTGCTTTGTCCTTTCCAGCCAACCTGCAGTGTCAACCTGAAACACAAAACTCAACACAATTGTATAACATACTAATAAATTATATCCAAGGAGTTTAACGGTCGTTAAAAATGTGACACACAAAATCAAATAAAAATGACTCAAAAAGTATTATAAGATTCCAGCCTCCTGAACAGCTGCTTCAGTTATCATGAGGCCCAAAAAACCAAAAAATCAGATGGACTCACACCACCAAATTTCAGTCCTACTCGGTGCTCAGCATCTCACATTACACAAGGGAAGTAGAATGAATGCGCTGGAAGACAATGCGGAATGAGTTACAAAAATTCAACTAGAGAAGATGGAAAACAAATCAAGAGGGACAGACTGGAATATGAGAAACAGATGCAGATTTGAGTAGACAGTAAAAGCTGAGATCAGCTGATAGTTTGCTTCCTTCAAAGCATTTCCTATTGGATCCTCCAGCACTTATGCAGCCACCAAGGACAGGGAATTCAAGAGTTCAACTGACACATATTGATAGTTTTACCAATGCATTAAGACCAAGGTTTTAAAAAGCGACCGCAACCGTTACTTAACGCCGTTACGTGACGGTTGTGGTGGTTACCGCCACCCGTTACGGCCGCTTTTGCAGTGTGATTTACAGGTGTGTTAGCCGTAGCGGCTGCCATAGCAGTCATAACGGTGCCGTAACAACCGTAACGGCCTGTTACGTACCGTTACGTAACGGTTCCGAACTGCTTCTTTCGAAAAAAACACAAAAAAAAAAAGGCTAAAAATGGCGGAAGAGGGATAGAGAGAAGAGAGAAGATGGAGGAGCAAGAGATAGAGAGAGAGAAGAGGGAAGATGGAGAACATGTTATTGATTTGTTGAAACTGTAAGACCTATGTTATTCTATTCAATTGCCATCACTCAACCATTTTGTTTGTATGTGCCTATCTATATATTGTTTGAAAATAATAATAATAATAATAATAATAATAATAATAATAAGTGTGGTCATTATCTATTTAGTTTGGTTAAAATATGTATATATATATATAGGCTCTTATTTATTCTCTTACTTTTGTCATTATTTATCTTATATATAATAGTTAGTGATTGATTTTTTGTATATTATAAAGTTATTAATTATTAAAATAAAATGTAAAGAACTCAATTTATAGTGATTTAAAAATATAAAATATATTGGATCAGACTTAAAAATTTACAAAAATTGATCAATATTTATTTTAAACCCAATAAATATGATCATGGAAAAAAAATAAGCGTATCGGTAAGTTTTTTTTCAAATTGTGGGAAAAATAAAAAAATTCACGTTTCCGGTTACCGCAACCGTTACACTACAGCCTTTACACCCTGCAACCGCAACCGCGCCACCGCCACCGTTACGGCAACCGCAACCGCTTTTCAAAACCTTGATTAAGGCCTCGTTTGGCAAGAGGTAATTTTAGCCAATTAGCCAAAAAGTTACTAAATTAGCCAAAAAGCCAACAACCCATACCAAAAAGTCAAAGATTCTCTTTTCTCTTTACTTTTTGCACATCTTTTCGTAATTAGTCAAAAAGTTATCCCAAACATACAAGTTTTTTTTACCTACCTTTTTAGCCAAATAGCCAAAAAGTTACTAAATTAGCCTGTTCCCAAACGAGGCCTAAGACACAAATACATTCAAAGCACACATGTTAGTGTGAAGCAATAGATATGATATTTACCAAATATATAGTTCTCCCTCGATATTGAAACTGAGCTCTAACTGAATCTCTCGTCAAGCCAGCTTCTGGCCCAACCAGAACGCGATCTTCTTGTAATAGCGTGTTTAGCAAGGTTGACTTCCCAACATTGGGCCGTCCTACAATCGCCAATTGTAATGGCAACTTAGATTCCTCATCCTCACAGTTGCTATCCTCCTGATTACTTTCATCTACAGATACAGGGAAGACAAAGCAGGTTTCATAAATAAGAGCCAGACATAGATACTTAGTTCATCACCAAAGCCAGTCAAAAAGATGATGCAGCAGTTAGTGAAAAAATGTTGTTCATAGTTTAACCGCACAACAGTGCTGTGCTCCAGAAGTGCATCATAAGATCTAAAATTGTCTAAATTCACTCAAAGAACAAGAAAAATAAAAACAGAAAAACCAACATTGATGATTCCTGTTAATAGATAAATCGCTTCCCTTAACAAAACCATTCCACAAATTCAAAATTAAGGGAAAGCTCAAATCCAAATTGCAATCACTAAATATGCACCTTCAAAGAAACATACCAAACTTTGCTTCTGACAATTATTCTAAGGGGGATATCAGCATACAGAACTTTGCAGGCATACACACCTACATCATTGAATCTCGGATCCTATTCAATTCCAAACCATTGAAATTGTAAAACAAAGTTACACAAGTGAAACAAAAATTGCTGAACCAAAAACTATCAAATGATATTTAGTAAGAGCCACATTCCACCGCTACAAACAAACTACTAAGTCACCCTTCAGAATTATCCACCATTGTACCAATTATAATCAATTATTTTGGTGCCATTTTTCTCAAGCTGAAAGTTGATAATCAAGAAGCAAAAGCTAAAGCACACCTCCCCCAGCTTCCAAATAACCAGCTTTTTTAAGTATACTTATGTTATTTCTACCTCATAAGTTATAAACTATAAACAGAAGTTACACCAACACAAATTTCAAAAAAAAAAAAAAAACTATTAGCAGCTCAAAAAGTGCACCAAGCAAGACCTACATAAGGCAAGGGATTAAACATGAGAGATGTCTACAAACTGCCTATAAAATATCAAGCCTTGTACATAGGCTAATCCATTCAAGTGCTTCTACTCTCAAGCTAAATCTTTCACTCTCTTTCATGTAAAAGTATCAGGTCTGCTTCACTAACCATTGCTTATGCCCTGATATAGTCTATAGACTATGCATTTTGTCCAACAGCCAACTAGCAAATATGGAAATGTCATCCATCTATGAGGTTTTATCGGTGATTTGCAGGGAACCCACAAAGCCCTTTTGACCCTGGAATATCTGGTTGGGTGGATTTTCCCCATCAATATCACTCCCTTTAGAAAATCCACCAGATCTTCCTCCATCTCTCTATGATAAGTATCGCATCCCAACACACACAAATTTAATTAAAAGATAAATAAATTATACTATAATTTAGGGCGAATTACACTAATAGTCCCTGTAATTTGGGGCTTGTGTCACTTTGGTCCCTGACTTTTTAATTGTGATACATTTTACCCTGAATTTTGAATCTTGTTCTAAATAAGGACAATCAAAGATGTTTCATTTGCAAATAGTCTAAATTAGTTTGTGTTGGTTAATTTGTATGTTGTTTGAAATGTAATGACCTTTTTTTAAATGAATAATGTTGGAACTTTCGTGGTTATAAAGTCGCCCTATTTGGTTTGGTTTTCAAAATCTATTTTCAGAAAAAATTTCTAAGAAAATAAAAATTAAATTGGTAAAAAAAATTAAAAACACATCATTTTTATATAATTTTATCTTTTGAGAGAGTAGAAATAAATTTTTTTATATTTATTTTGTTAAATTAGTTTCTATTTTTTCAAAAGTTAAATATGGCGACAACTTCGATATCATTATTAAACCAATCCATTAACTCAAAAAATTCAAAACTAAAAACATTTCATATACATATCAATTATACACTAAAAGCCTAATAACCATCCATTACATGATAAGCATCCAAAATATCTGTTAACAACAAATACAACCATCTATTACATGATAACCATCCAAAAAATCAATAAAAACAATCACCCATTACATGATCATCACCCAAACACATACTAAAAATTAATTTGGTAAAAAAATAAAATATAAAAGATTTATCATTTTTTATAATTTTATCTTTGATAGGTGGAAATAATTTTTAATATTTCAAAAATAATTTTTGGACATTTATTTTTATCAAATTGACGACTTTACCCTTGAAATGAAGCAATGGTGTCTTCAATTATCCTTATTTGGAATGAAATTCAAAATCCATGGTCAAATGTATCACAATGGCAAGGTCAGGGACTAAAATGACACAAATCCTAAACTACAGGGACCGTCAATGTAATTCGCCCTATAATTTATATGTCACCTGCTACAGAGGTCAAGTACTAGAATGCAACAACTATCAGCTGCACACTGTAGCACACAGTACAAAACAATGTCTGCAAGATCCAGATAATTCTTACGATTGTGTTTAAGGTGAATAATGACATTAAAAATGTCCGCCACAACAATGTAAACTCTAACATGACTAATTGTGTGAATTGCAATCACATAATGCTCCCCACTTGCACATTGATCATCTACTTCTAATAATGAATTAGTCAAGTCTTCCACGTCATTAAGAATTACATATCCTAGTAAATCTCTGAATATATGCCATGAAACTTTAAGAAAATGCTCTCATACCTCCAAGGTCTAACTTGCAATTTCTTTAGTTGCAAATACCAGTGATGCCATTGCCAAACTCCAAAGCCTTCCCACAACAGGTTGAGCTTTCTGATCCTCACATAATTCCAATCTTGCTTAAATCCCAAGTTAAACTTCTCCTTTAATGATTGAACCAACAGATTTTGGCCGCAATTTTTTATTAGTTTATGATTTTTCCTCCTAAATCATCTTGTCTGTAGACTGCCCTTAAATCCTGATGATGTCAACCGCATGACTCCAGCCCAGATTCACATGGGCCTCTAATAAAGGCTAGCCACATCAGCTTTTTAATTAGGACTGAGAAGATTTCCAGAGAGAATGAACAAATTCTAGAGACACAAATTCAAGAAGAAGATGAACTGTATTATTGATCTTACTTATCGCTCACATAAACAACATTTATATTTATAGAGTATTCCTCCGCCTCTAACTAACCTGCCTACTCAGCATAACAGACTCAACTAACTCCTAATCCACTTGACACAATTCAGTTATACTACTACTTCTCTGACTATCCAACCTATATCTATTAATAAGATTCCCTTAACCAACTTTTCGAAATCTATGGCCCTTTTTGGCATAGTTTTCAAAAAAAAAAAAAACTACTCAAAAACATGTAGGGTGTATTTTTTGGTTTACCCTAAAATTTATTTAAAAATACATCAAAGGGATGCCACCAATATCCAACTATAAGCATCATTGTTGTCAAATCGCGAATCGAATTATGAATCGTATCGAATTGTGAATCATAAAATCCTACTTTAAATCGATTAAATGCTAGGTCGTTCCCCTCAAGTGATGCAATGCGCTTGCCTCCGGGTGTTTCAAAAAGTGAGCAAGGGGCGCCGCATCAACAATTGGGTGCGATCAATGTTTTAAAAAGCACGCCTAGCCACTAAGCGAGGCGCGGCGCAAGGGCTGCGCTCCAAGTAGGCGAGGCGAGGCGAGGCGAGTTGCGAGAAGTACAGGTAAGGCGCTGAGGCGCGCACCTTTCGATTAGGCTCAAGGCGCACGCTTTGTGTGCTTCGCCATCAACTGATCTATTTTGTGTTTGTGTACTAGCCATCGACTGATCTGAGCTACGACATCGACTGGACTCGTCTTCTTCAGGTTCGTCTATGCTTCTTCTCCTCTCTTCTCCTCTTCTGCTTCGTCTTCTCTCTGCTTCTTCTCTTCTGCTTCGTCTTCTCTTCTCTTCTCCTCTCTTCTCTTCTATTCTCTCCTTTTGTCGTCTTCTGTATCGCTCACGATCGCTCTCTCTCGCCTTCTCTCTCGCGATCGTAATCTCTCTCTCTCTCTATCTCTCTCTTGCTTCTATCTCTCTCTTTATCTTCTTGATTCATATATATAATATATTATATAATATATAATAGGTAATATACTTATAGATAATATATTAAATATAATTGATTCATGGGACATTTACACACAAGTCCTAATTTATAAACTGATAAAAAATGATGTATTATTGATTGATATCTGATTGATTTATTGATACATATTCTGTCTATTACAAATGGTTGGTGTGTAGTGGATGGTGATAGTAGTGTAGTGGGTTAGGTTTAGTGGAGTAGGTGAGGTGGTAGTGGTGTAGTGGGTTAGGTTTAGTGGAGTAGGTGAGGTGGTAGTGGTGGTAGGTGATGGTAAATTCTAACATAAACTTATACTCCATTAAGTCCTAACTAAGATTTTTTGGACATTCAAGTACCATTAAATTTTAATATAATAATTTTACATTTATTTTGATGTCTTCTCCCTCGCGCTCCTCACAGTCCCTTTCGATTTTCTCACTCTAGGATATATACATACACATATACTCATATGTATTTGTATGCATCATCAACACAGGTGCAATTCTTCTCTCTTTTGTCATCTCTCTTTTCTCCATTGATCTCTCACTCAATCTTCTCTACTTCTAAACCCTAACCCAAATCTCCAAATTCCTTTCAAATTTCTCAAATTATTTGTCTATTGTTTATAGTGTTTTAAGCAAATGCAAGTCACCGATTCGGACGAACCTATAGTTTCAGAAGAGGATCTCTCAAAAGAAGCCGAGAAATCTGAAAAGTTGCAAGTTTTGGAGACCAATTTGAGTGGAGATGATGCTGATTGTGGCTCTGTTCTTGATGTTTCTGGAAAAAGTTTGGATTTTTCAAACTGATAATATTCTCAGTTTTGAAACTGGAAAAAATTGAAAATGTTCTCAGTTTTATTAAATAGTTTAATCAAACAAATAAGTAGAAAGGTAAAAACGTTTAATCTCATGCTCTATTTTTTTTTTATCAGATATTGAAACAATTATTTAAAACACTATTATGTAAAATTGATAATATTCTTAGTTTTAAAAATTAGAAAAAAAAACTGATAATATTCTCAGTTTTACTAAATAGGACTTATTAGTTCAAAAAATCTTAAATAGGACCTAAGCTACCATAACATTTGTAAATAGGACTTTTAGGTAATTAACTCTTGATTCATATATATATATATATATAATATTATATAATACCTATAATACCTATTATATAATATATAATACATAATATACTTATAGATAATATATAAAATATAATATATACTTATACATAGTAATAAATAAAATAAACATATGTATGTAAAATAAAATATAAAAAAAATTAATTGAAACACATTATTTAAAAAATATAATAAATAAATAAAATAATATATATATTAAAAAAATTAATTGTTTTTTTTCTTCTTCTCTTCTCTTCTTATTAAAAAAATTAATAATATACATATTAAATATTTACTTATGTTGAAAATTGTACATTAATATTTTGCTTAATTTATATAACTTGCATCTCTCTTTGGTGAGGCGCGCATCTCAGCGCTTAGGCTCCAGGTGACCTTGGAGCCTCAATGCGCCTAGAGCTTTTTAAAACACTGGATGCGGTGAAAAATGGGCGCGGTGAAAAATGGGCAAAGGTTTCCATATTTTTCTGGATAAGTGCAAGTAAAGAAGCTAGTCCAAGACTAAAGGTTTATGATAGCCACATGGAATATAGGAACTTTAACTAGTAAGACTATGGAATTGGTAAATGTTATGATTAGGAGGAGAGTTAGTATAGCATGTGTACAAGAAACTAAGTGGACAGGTGAGAAAGCTAAGAAAATTGAGGATACCGGATTTAAACTGTATTATAGTGGCAAGAATAGACACAAGAATGGGGTAGGAGTAATAGTTGCCAAAGGCCTCATAGAAAATGTAGTGGCAGTCATTAGGAAAGGTGAAAAGATTATATTAGTTAAACTAGTTATTGGATGGAATATAGTAAACGTTATTGGTGCATAAGCCCTCTAAGTAGGATTAGATGATAAGACTAAGCGAGATTTTTGGGAGCAAATGGATGAGATCTTACAGCGGATACCCGTGGGAGAGAACCTAGTTATAGGTAGAGATTCAACGGCCATGTAGAAATAGATAAACTAGGCTATGAGAGGGTGCATGGTGGATATGGTTCTGGCGATAGAAATGAGGCTAGAAAGAATATTTTAGATTTTGCGTTGACTTCTGACCTAGTGGTAGCCAATATTATGTATAAGAAGAAGGAGGAGTATTTAATAAACTTTAAGAGTAGGTCAATTAAGAGCCAAATAGATTACTTTTTAGTGAGGAAAGTGGACCGCCTAAAATGCAATGATTATAAAGTGATTCCTGGAGAGGCCTGATATCTCAACATAAGATTTTGATACTAGATTTATACTTTAAAAGACAATATCAAGCTACGAAGGATAGTGGGCGTCGTAGTACGAGATGGTAGGACTTAAAAGGGGATAAATTAGAAATATTTAAGAATAGAATGGACAAGGAAGGTACTTAAGTTGAGACATGGATGATAATGCTAATACTATGTGGAATTCGATGGCCAATTGTATGAGAAGAATCTCAAGGAAAGTTCTTGAAGAATCGAAAAGAAAGGGACCCAACTCTAGGGAAATTTGGTGGTGGAAGGAAGAGATTCAAGCTGTAATTAAGGCGAAAAAATAGTGCTTTAAAAAGTGACAGAAGGATAGAACTGAAGAAAACCTTGAGAGCTATAGATTGGCTAATAAGGAGATCAAGAAAGTAATGAAATAGGCTGAGTTGAAAGCTTATGATACACTAGACTAGATAGTAAGGAGAGAGAGAAGAGGGTATACAAACTTGCTAAGATAGGAGAGAGAAAAACAAGAGATTTTAATCAAATTAAGTGCATCAAGAGTGATAATTCTAAGGTTTTGGTGAAGGATGAAGAGATTAAGGAGAGGTAGAATAACTATTTTGAGAAACTGTTAAATGAAGAATATGGAGGTACATTAATAGAGAAGAAAATAGCCAGTAATATGAAAAACTAAGACTATAGGTTCTATCGCAGGATTAGGAACTTTGAAGTGGAGGTTGCACTTAAGAAAATAAAACCGAACAAGGCTTTAGGATCCGATCATATCGCTATTGAAGCTTGGAAGTGTTTGGGTAAGAAGGGGTTGCTTGATTGACTAGATTGTTTAACAAGATTTTATTGATTAGGAACATGCCAGATGAGTGGAGGAAGAGTATTTTAGCGCCAATCTATAAGAATAAAGTAGATGTCTAGAATTGCAACAACTATGAGGAATCAAGCTAATGTGTCATATAATGAAAGTGTGGGTGAGGATGATGGAACATCAATTGCAAGATATAACAGAGGTGTCTAATAATCAATTTGGATTTATGCTTGGTAGGTCAACAATGAAAACAATCTATTTTTTGAAGAGAGAAATAAAAAAGTATAGAGAAAAAAAAAGAGACATTCATATGGTGTTTATTGATCTTGAGAAAGCATATGATAGAGTCCCCTCGGGATATAATCTAGTGACGTTAGAGCAGAAAAGGGTGACAAAATGTTACATTGATGTGATTAGGGACATATATGAAAGGGTTATGACCACTATTAGATCGCTTGCTGGGGAGACACAGGAATTTTCAATTACTGTAGGGTTACACCAAGGATCTACCTTAAGTCCTTATCTTATTGTTTTAGTTATGGATGAGTTGACGAGAAATATTGAGGATGCTGTGCCATGGTGTATACTTTTTGCAGATGATATCGTGTTAGTGAATGAGACTAGAGAAGAAGTTAACACAAAGTTAAAGATTTGGAAAGAAGCACTTGAATCTAAAGGATTTCGAATAAACAGAACTAAAACAGAATATATGGAGTATAAATTTAGTAACAGTAGCAATGAAAGCAGTGGAGAAATGAAGATTGAAAACCAAGAACTACTTAAGAGTGAACATTTTTGTTATTTAGGGTCGGTTATCACAATGGCGGGGGAGATTGATGTGGATGTGATCCATAGAATTAAGACGGGATGACTTAAGTGGCGAAGTACGTCTGGGGTACTATGCAATAAACGAGTATCTACTAGACTAAAAAAAAAGTTCTATAGAACGGCTATTAGACCAACGATGTTGTATGAGACGGAGTGTTAGGCAACCAAAAAACAACATGTAGATAAGATAAGTATTGCTGAAATTAGTATGCTAAGGCAGATGTGTGGTAAGACTAGAAAAGACAGAATTATGAATGAGTATATTCGAAAATGGGTAGAAGTAGCACCGATAGAAGATAAGTTGAGAGAGAATAGATTGAGATGGTTTGGTCATATTCAATGGAGACCAACAGAGGCAGTAGTGAAGAGACGCAATGCAGTGACGGTAGATGTAAGTGTTAGGGGACAGGGTAGACCTAAATTGATGTTGGCTAGCGTAGTAAATAGAGAGATGAATTTACTTAATTTGACTAACGAAATGGCATTTGATAGAGCCGCGTGGAGAAGGAGGATTCACGTAGCCGACCCCATTTGATGGGACTTAAGGCTTATTCGGTTCGGTTCGGTTCGGTTCGGTTTTATATAGTTCTATATATTTATATACATATAAAAGTACATACCGTGTTAAAATAAAGTAAATTATCAACATAACTAAATTATATATATATGTATATACATATAAAATTACGTATATCAAATATAACTAATTAATCTCCTCTAAATATCTTCATAGTTTGGCACAAATGATGTTTCAAACATTATGTAAACAAAAAGAAATAGAACTAAATCGCAATGAATCATCTGAATCATAGTGAATTGAACGAATCCTAGTGAATCATAAATTGAATTGTATGATTCACTCAATTTCCGATTCAACAACATGATTCAAATCGTTTTTTGCTGAAACTCGCATTGAATCATATAAATTGAATCGTGAATCGTACAATTCTAACAACCATGATAAGCATATCAACTTCAACATCAACTAATTTGCTAGGCATTATTTATTCATTCTATGTCATTGGTCCCCTTAGACCATCTCCAACGCTTCATCAAATCTGGCATCAAATTTGAAATTTGGTGAAAAAGTGACTTTTTGGTGCTCCAACGGTTTCACCAAATCAATATCAAATCGAGAATTCACCAAACCTTTCACCAAAATGAGAACACGCTCCAGGTTTCACCAAATCACTGTTTGTTACCGTTGGGGGAGACAAACCGGTCGACCAGCCGGTTAACCAACCGGTCGACCATAAAACGGTTCAAACAGTTCACATAAATAGTTCAAACAGTTTAAAAAAAAAAAAAAAATTGCCTTACCGGTCGACCAACCGGTTGTCCCGGAAAAAGTTCAAACAGTTCAAAAAAAAGGTTCAAACAATTCAAAAAAAATATTTTGCCTTCACCGGTCGACCAACCGGTTGTCCCGGCGCAGATTTGATGAAAATTTGATGAAAATGAACCATTGGAGCACTCGGTATCAGATTGAGAAAAAAGTCATTTTTTTACTCAGATTTGATGAAAATTTTAGTGAACCGCTGGAGATGCTCTTACCTTTTCCTTTTAATGAGATAGCGATGTTATCTCGATTAATTGAACACTGAGCACTTCAAGCCAGGCACTATATCCACCAACCATATCTTTTTTTAGCACTGGGCCATTATGGCGGTTGCCCTTATCTACACAATGTAAGAAAATCATCTACAAAGCACTTAGAAGCTAACTTAGAGAAATAGATGGTCTGATACTTGATATTAAAACCTACAAGAAACATATAGTTCAATCTATTGAGAATTTGAGAGATGCTTTTGTGTGACAAATATGTGCGTTCAGATTCACCATGAGAAATTCAAAAGGATAGCCAAACAACCTTTTTGAAAAAACAGCAATATATTCTGTGAAGTACCTCATATAAACAATATAAGCTGCGCTTGTGCAACTTGAAAGCAAAAACATAAGTAGCTTTCAAAGGCTGCATAGAAATTAAGCACATGTCCAGGAATTTTGTCTTGAGAAAGGATGTCACAGTCATGACAAGAAAATCTTTAAGGGATGGTTCTTACCATTTAAGACCTTGAGAATATAGTCCTCAAGTAAAGGCCTTAGAACTTCATAAAGTTCTGTCATACCCAATCCAGTCTCAGCAGATAGAGCAATAGGATCCCCAAATCCTAACATATGGGCTTCGCCACCAGCAGCAGCAAGAGATCCAGCACCATCATCAAGTGATTCAGATTTATTCATCACTACAATAGTCTTGATTCCAGGTGCATGCTTGCGCAACCATTTTCCGACATCCAAATCCATAGGCTGCAGCCCATCTCTAGTCACAATATAGGACAACAAAAGTAATTAAAGTACACACTCAAAAAAACATATAATAACAAAACAATGCATACTAACAAGTCAACACTATGTTCATCCATGAAGCTACTCCAAAACTATGAAAGAACTTTTAAAATGTAACCAGTGTCTTCAATGATGACACAAACCTGTTTCTATGACAACTTTAAACAGATTCAAGAAACAACATTCATTCCTACACATCCCAAAATACAGTGAATAATTCTGTTAGTTATCTATTAACCTATACATGACTCAAGATACATTTAGATAACTAAATTACTTCCTTTATGGATCTGATTTCTATTCACCTACTACATGTAAAACTATCTGGTTAGGACAAAACCAAATAATAACAGTGTCTGTAGCAATAAGAAACACTAACTCATCCATCAAACTAACCTTGCATCAATGAGGAAGAGAGCAAATTGAGACCTTGCCAGCACATTTCCAGTCATTTCTGCAGTTCTTCTGAGAACAGAACCAGAAGATGCCTCCGCTTCTAAGCCAGCCGAATCCAACACCCTAAATCGTAAATCACTCAATTTGGCAATCCCTTCTCGTATGTCCCGTGTAACATGGTCAGTAGGAGTATTGTACACAAGAGCCTCTCTCCGTCGTATTAAACTACATCACAAAACCAACTCACAATGTTCAAACTGCAACAGCTATTTCCAAACCCCACAAATAGAAACTGTCTAAGTTTACCGTAACAACTGCTATGAATTTTAAAAATAAGCATGTAAGAAAAACTAACCGATTAAACAGCGCTGACTTGCCTACATTTGGGCGCCCAATAAGAACTACAGTTGGAAGCAAGCTGAGATCAACCTTTGTGAAATCAACCGACTTCTTACTATTATCTCTTTCTTTTGGTTTATCAATAATAGCGGCATCTTCAAAATCAACATGGTATTCTTCTGAATCACCTCTTACATCATTGCAAGGACCAGAGACACCCAATAATGCATCCTCAGTTGCTTGGGTTGACACCGTGCAAAATCCACCACCGGTGTTAAAATGACACCAGTGTGAGGTTAACTTGCACGAATTTAACCCCGAATGTGTTCTTCCAATGCCATTTATAACAAAGCCATTGGACAAAGATCCTAATGACCAAATTATCATAAAGTAAAGATTAAAGTTAAAACCCATGTGGTCAAGTCCAATTATAGAGTCATATATATTACAGAGATCAATAATTCCACACTCAAGTGAGACGGAGGGCTGTGGAACCATCGCATAAGGTTGTCGAATTGATTTGTCTAATTTTACATATAAATGCATCTCCACTCCTTCGTCAATTCTTTCATCAAATTTAAATTTGATAACTAAAAGTACTTAAAAACCGTCTCCAATCCTTTCATCAAATGTTCACAGAGTCATTTTTTTCATCAAATTGAGAGAATTCATCAAATATGAACTTAATGAAAATTTAAAAAATGAAGCATTGGAGATCATTATTTTTTTTATTTATCAAATTTGATGAAAAGGGAAATTTTGGGATAAGAGTGAAATTCTAAAAAAGATTTTTGATAAAAATTTGATGAAAGGATTGGACTAGTTCTTATCAAATCAAACTTTTTACTCAAATTGGAATCAAATTAGATGAAAAAAACTGGGGAAGGGTCGGAGATGGTCCAACTATATGAGAAATTGCGATAATTGTAATTTTTTACCATATCTGATATCGCCAGAGTGTGCAGTGGTGTTCTTCAAAGGTGCCGTGTCTCTGAAGAATCTGGGAATTGAACTATTGACATGGTTGGGCAGAGTAGTAGTAGTAGTACCAGAGAGGAGAGAAAAGCCACGGAGGCTCTTTCGGGGCGAAAGGGCTCGAACCCATGAGTGAAACATCCCAAGGTTCGCTCTTAATGCAATTGATTATATCTACACATATGGGTTCTTCTTCAATTGTATATTGAAGCTGTATTGCAATTACAAAAATGTGTGAGATAATGATCGAGTCTCTAGTAAAGAACAATGACGAAACGTAATTTGTACATACAACAAAATATATACATATACTGTAGACATATATGAATACTAATTTGGAAGTGATTAAACCTAGAAGAATACCTGAGTAGAAGTGTAGCGAAGGTGCGGCTGTGACGGTGGTGGACTAGTGGCGGTGCTGTGGTTGTGGATGAGTGACCGAGAGGAGTTAACGGGCGGTTCAGCCGGTTTTGGGCTTTGAAGCTCGAGTGTTGCGCCTCTGGCAAAGAGTAGGGCCGAGCGGAGCTTTCGTTTGTGGCTCAATACGTAAGTGGGTTCGAGTTTGAGAGCCATTTCCCAAAATAAGCCAAACCACCTACCAATTTCCCAAATTAAGTCAGTTTGTTTGACCGTAATTTCCAAAATAAGCTGAAGCTTTATTTCAAAACGCGTTTTCACCATATCTCTGGCATACGTAGGGAAAATGAATAAAATGATAAAAATGTGATTACAAATTACACTTTTAATTAAGAAAGCGTGAATAAAAATTACATTTTTAAAAAAATCTATTTTGTAAATAAAGCACGGTTAGAAATCACGCTTTTAAAAAAAAACTGTTTTGTAAAGAAAGCGTGGTTAAAAACCACACTTTAAAAAAATTTGTTTTAAAAGAAAGCGTGGTTCGTAATCACGCTTTTAAAAGTGACATAAAATGACCTACCCCCTCATTTGCAACCACGCTTTTGATACTTCATTTTTTTTTTCTACGAACCACACTCTGCTCTCACTCTCTCTCTTTGTGATTTCTCTGCTCTCACTCTCTCTCTCTCTCCATGGGTTCTCTGCTCTCTCTCTCTGTGGGTCACTCTCTACTCTCTCTCTCTCGCTGGTATGACTGTCTCTCTCTCTCTCTCTCAGTTTGAATTTTATATGTGTTTATTTTGTTTGTGAAAATGTGAATGTGGGTACAATGTGGGTATAATAGGGTTTGTGAATGTGAAAATGTTGTGAATTGATGAAAATGTTGGTAGAATAGAGTTTGTGAATGTGAAAATGTTGTGAATTGAAATTGATATCAATATGAGTAGAATAGGCTTTGTGAATTGAAGTTGTGGTTTTGAATTCACAGAATAAACCGTAGCCCTAGCCCTAGCCCTAGCTCTAGCCCTAACCCAATTCTAGGGTTTGAAATTGAACCCTAACCCTAACCCAAAGTTTGTAATGCAAATTGAACCCTAGCCTAACCCAATTTTAGGGTTTTCAATTGAATTTGAAATCAGAAATTAGGATTAGGGTTAGAGCTAACCCGAAGTTTTTGTTTGAATTTGTCAGACAATTCTAGGGTTAGGGTTTCAAATTTAACCCTAGCCCTAACCCAAAGTTTTTTGTTTTTTATTTTTTAATTCACAATTGAATTCTAGGGTTTTTATTTTTTGATTGTCAGACAAATGTTCACAAAAATAATTAAAAATAAAAAATTTAAACTCCCTTAAAACAGATAATAAGAATCTTATAAAAATTGTAAATTCTGTATAAAAATGAGTGCAAGAGAGAATGAATAATTCTTTTAAACTCTCTTAAAGACTTTTTTTTTTATATTTATTAGTATTATTTGAACATAATTACTAAAATTTTCTTATACAGATTAAGATATTAAGGAATCATTTCAAGAACTGAAAAAGATAAAAATAAATAAATAAATGATTTTGTTACTTCATAGTTTACCAAAATTTAGTACACAATTTTTAAAAATATAAAATTATATGAAAACAATAATTTAAATGCAACAAAATTTCACTTAAATGTTACTCTTCTTATATTTTAAATTGCAAAGTTACTAATTAAACTTGCATAATGAAGCTTATCAATTATATCCTTTTCAATGGATAATATAATAAATTGCAAAATTACTAATTAAACATTACTCTTTTTAATTTATTTTTTTTTTGTTTGGTTGCTAGTTGAATTAAAAATAATAATTTTGGACCTTTTGGATTTGGACTCCATTTGAGTGAGGCTTATTAAGAATATTTTAATTTTGAACTTAGTATAAAATGTATAAATTTTTTGGATCCCAATTTTTACATAATTTTGAATTTAAACTTTTTGTTTTAAAATGATAGACTCAAAATTAAGAATGATAATGAGGCAGGCCAATGTAGGGATCCACTCATATCAGATTGAGAGACATAAATACGAACGAGGTAATTTTATAATCTTGAGGATGACGGTATTAATAAAAATGAGAGACGATATAGTATATTATAGATAATAATTTATAGGTCATGCTAAGGGTTGTTAATAAGTACCCATAACAAGATCAAAAAAATTCTAATCCCAATACATTTTCCCATATATTCCAGAATATTTTTACACATTTCAACACACTTTTAATATACATGTTACACACTTTTTCAACACTATCAATAAGTGTTAGGGCTTATCTATATTAAATAAATAATAAATAAGCCTTAGGGCTTTTATTAGCATTTTTCATAAATTATAAAAAATGAGACTTAAAAAATGTAAAATGAAAAATGAAGAAATGAAAATGAGTGTTTTAAGTATAATATTTAAGTGTTTTAGTCTTATTATATTTTTAAAAAATTAAATTATATATATTATATAAAACTATATTTGATTAGTATAATGGAGATGGGGTACCTATCTATCTCTCTCTCTCTATATATAAGTACTAGTGCATAACCCGTGCCTAAAGGCACTCCCATATAACCTTTTTTTTGGGGGGGGGGGATCGAACCCATATAACCACTTAAATAGTGGATTTTGTTCCTTATAAAAAAAAAAAAAAACTATCACTCATATGATTTGTGGAGCTTTAGACTTGGAAGTCATATACATATGTCAATTTAATGTTACATTACCTCATCAATTTAATAGCATACATTCAAGCCTAGGTTAAGTAAATCCACTTTTAATCCAACTTGCCAAAATCAGCTGTGAAGAAAAATCATTACAGCCATATAATGCCAAGGTTGTTCAAATTGGGATCCTACATAGGATCAGTGAGAGGGTCTCATGGATCGGATTGTAGGATCAGATCGAGGATCGTAAGATTCTACTTTCTAGGTAAAAATACAAATTAGAATGATGCATAATAAAAATAAGGTGAAAAATCATAAATCCAGTGATCCTACTTACGATCCTTCTATAACACCGATCCTACAACGATTTCGATCGTTTTGACAATTTAGGATTGTAGGACTATGATCCGAATTGCGATTTTGATAACCGTGTATAATGCCCCAATGTGGTTGAATAAATTACATGAATGAAAACAACTATAAAATTGAAATTATTGTAATTGTAGGGATGATGTAAAATTCATCAATTAAAAACAACTATAAAATTGAAATTATTGCTCTAAAATATAGCCAAATGAAAGTATTTGAAAGTCGTTCAATAGTTGTTGACAATTGCTAGTATTGACACCTGAACAAACAAAAAAAATCTAAAATCAAATGGATTAAAGAAAAAAAATCTAATTCAGAGAAAAATGCCTAATGATATCTCCAAATAATGTCGCAATAAACTTTCTAATTGCTCAAAAGTATCTATGATGTATCTTCTTAATTTATTAGACACTACCACCACGCACATAGTTCGGCTCGCCTATTCTTCACATGTTTTCCTCAGCTAGTTTTACTACCTCCACTAAAGTACTCAACAAAAATAAACACACATGTTTTCCCTAGCTAACTGAACCATATTTTTAAAATATGTGCTCCCAAAAAATAACAATGAGACAACAAAAAAAACTACACCATGGAACACGATACCATATATAAAAGGATTTTTTATTTTGTTGCAAAATGAATTGAAGCATATGTAATGAAGATAAAAAAAATATACTTGACACAACAGAAAAACAAATGGACCTCAAAGATTGCTTTGACCTTCTTTCTTTTCACTTTTGATATTGTTTTCTTGTCACTTGACTTGGGCTCATATCAAATTTCAGAGGCTTTATCTTCAATATCAAATACACCCCAATAGTTTTAACTAGCCTTTCACAATTATTTTCTGCTGTAACTGAAGTTTAGAGCTAGGGAATTAAAATAAAAGAAAATAGAGACAGGGAGAGATAGAAAGAGTAGTCGATGGCCTGAAAGGCGCTTATATTGTAGAATGAAAAGGAGAAAAAATTTAAAAGGAAAACTCACATTAGGAATTTTAGGATGATTCTTCTATGAGGATTAAAAGCAGTACGCTATTCTTTTCCTCTTTTACATGGAGGCTGAATGGAGCTTTTCCTTCGATTTGAAAGGATATTGGATCTGAAAGGGTCTTGTTAGGTTTTTATTCTTAACAACCCTGTTTGACAAAACTCCTTTAAGTTGTATTTGTTTTCGCATTTTTTATTTCAGCGAGGCTATGAGTGTTTAGATGCGAGTCCAACTCGAATTGAGCCTTACAGAGAAGTTTGTGATGTTAATACTTTCAAGATTGCCACTTCGCTGATTATAACGGGGGTCGAGCTGCCCGGTCAGCTCGCGCCCGAAGCAAAATGCAAAATTGCATTCAAAGTTGGCTGTCCGCCCTTGCTCGCTCGAGCGAAGAAGTCCTCGCTCGAGCGAAGGATTGCATCTATACAAAACCCTGAAAGAGCTCATTGTTCGCTCGAGCGAAGGGTTTGTGGCTCGAGCGAAGGCACTAGTGGAAATCACACAAGTTAAGGTTCTCGCTCGAGTGAGAGAAGCTTCGCTCAAGCGAGAGAAGCTTCGCTCGAGCGAGCTTCAAAATCCGGATGCCTATAAGGAATTGGTTTTCTTCCAAAACTAGGATTACTTTGGATTTCTATAAGTAGTTGGTTTTCTCCCAAAACTTTACTTACTCTTCCAGATCTTCTTCTTCGATTCTAGGGTTTATATCTGGGGATATTTTGCTAGTTTTCTTTGATGTTTTGCTTGAATATTCAACTCATGGTTTAAAAAGTATACATCAAAGGATTATTTGTTTGTTCTACACAAAAGAGAGAGTTGTTCTTCGGTGGATTCTGAAGAATTCGAGCCTGAAGCTTTGGTGGATTCCGGAGTGGCTCATCGTCAAGACAATTCTGAGGTGAAGACAGGGTTGGAAGAGACACATAGAGGTTGGTTCAATTCGGGCGTGGATTCGCTTGGTAATTGAGAGTATACCTGTATAATTCCTTTATATCTTCGTAGTGGATTGTTTTATGGCTGTTGCCCGTGGTTTT